AAAAAAAAAAAAAAAACAAAATAACAAAAGACAAAAGAAAGGAAAGACAGAAAGGAAGATCAAAGTAATTGTTAAGGGTTTATATAAAAACCAAAAAAACGTATCATAACAAAACAATAAACAATCACGTGATCACGTGTTATGATACGGGATGATTGTAAAATTATTTTCTAAAATATTAAGTTTAAAAATTCCGTATACATTCCGCATTATTGATTTTTTCCGTATACATTTCGTATACGTTAGTTTTTTAAAAAAATGTTCAAAAATGAATTTCTTATTAAATATATGGAATTTGTATACGGAATCTATAGAAACGTACATAAAATGTATACAAAACGTATTCTTTCCATATACAGATTTCTTATAGGGACAATATTCTTATTTAGGCGATATTAGACCTTTGTAATAGAAGAGGAAGAAAGAAGGGAAAACAAAACTGAGATACAGATACAATATCAAATGCGGACGCAAATAAAATAAAACAAATCATACAATAATCATGTGATAAGTTTCTGTTTTCATATTCCAACAGTGACTGAAGTAACTGGTTTATATCATGGTTCCGTACCATAAAGCCATGATAGACTTTTATTCCAATATTGATAGACTTTTTACCCATCCTATTAAATAAACACCCCCGTAAAAGTATCAAACAAAAAAATACCAAGTAAAGTTTCATTGATGTCACACAAGGTCATCCTATTATTATTGTAATAGTATTAAAAAATATAAATTTAATTTAAAGTGGTATTTATCGGAAAATAAAAAACAACTACACAACCGAACCCATGTAAATCTTACCAAAAAAAGAAAATTGAAACAGCACCCAATAACCTAATGTTGATCACAACCCACTCGCCACAGTCTATATCTAACCCTGCTCACTCGCCTAACCGTCTCTACGCGTGACAATTAGAGATCGATCCCCTCAAAAAAAAATTAAGTCGCTAAAATAAATACATACGACGAGAACTGAGCAGTCACGTGTCCCGTGACGGTTAGGCATCACGTATGTGTCAGAGTACAAATGATCTTCGTATAATAATACAAATGTCAGATCCATCCCCTTCTCACTTTCATAATATTTTTCCCTTTCTAAAATTTTTTTGCTGTTACAAATTTACAAATTCCATTAATAATTTACCCAGTCTCAAGATAGCCTTTTCATTCTATATTCTATTCTTACCGTCTATCCTTTTTATTACGTAACTTTTATTAAAATATTCCATGAATATTCCACCGATACCATTATCAGCAATAAATCATTTTGTTCAAAACAACTTGGTTAACAGGATAACAATTAATATTAATAATACTCAATCAAGGAATACATTACATCATGGAAAACATATTGGGAATAAATTAATTACACCGTTACCCGTAACAATAAATCGTAGAGAAATGGGATTTATGTAAGTATCCTGTTTGTTATTTTTCCTATTATAAGTTGTTTTTCTTAATATGCCACATTTGACGTACTATAGAAGGTCCAAGTCAACAATTGAAAAAGCTTGCGGGATTGTTACCTATGAAATTGATGACAAGCGTAAGAATAACTTACCATTACTTCTTATTGTGGGTTGGAGGGTAAGTAATTTTTGTTTCAAAAAGTAGCTCATTTGGAGGTCTTAAAGTATGATACCGTAAAGTCCCGAAAGTAAGCATGCACATAATGCCAGCCAAGCTCATCATAATGTAGGCCAAAATTGTAATAATTCTGGTAAGGGGTGCTTATTTTCGGGGTGCTTACTTTTGGGATTTTACGCTATTTATATAAAGAATGTTTACCGAATCACTTGACCCTTAAACTTAAGAAATGGTCGAAAATCAGCTATATAAACCATGTTTTATTTCATAATTAGATATCCATCATCGGAAAAAACAAATGGTTTGTCTTTATCGGCTGTGAAACAGATCCGGATTTTCCAGACGAAAGTTCTATAAATAAATATTTGAAAGAAAATGGAAATAAGGGCTCAGATACTTTGGAATTTGATGAATATTCAATGGTCATTGACGGATCGATATCTGATGGGTAATTATATTATGATAAAGTATTAATTATTAAGCTTATTTATCACTAACAATCAAAATATATACATAATACATATAGGAATAATGCACAACTCGACATATGTATCCGTTCTCGGGGGGTATTAGAAAGATTTTTTTCTTGATAGCCTTTTTTCAAAAATATATTTTTTCATTGATTTTCAGTACATCAGTTTTGATATATTTTTCTTAGTTTTTCTACTTCCCAAAATTTCGAAACGGAGATACATGTACAGATTCCGCCAAATTAGCGATCCGCAAAATCCCTTATTTAATTTATTGATATAGTTGTTTTAGTTAATTTATTTTATTTTATCTTTCGTTCTTATCTGTTATAGAATTTTTATTTTTATCTTTTTTCCTTGTTTTTTTTTTTATTCTTACTTTGAAATTTTATTTATATTTTACACTAAAATTTGGACATCTTTAATCCCTCTGTAAATGCTGGAAATTTGGAAAAAAATTTATTTCATCGGCCACATCTCGTTGATTAATCTAAAAGAATAGAGATATTTTGTTAATATGAAATAATTTATCAATAAAGTTATCACGCGGCCCTTGAAAAAAAAAAAAATAATAATAATTTACGTTATTTATTGATTATTGCCATAATATTGTTTTATTCATTTCGCTGAAAAGGTATATACTTTATTTTATATTATTTACCGTATATAAAGTAAAAATAAAGGCTTAACCGATTCAACCATTCATATATCCATATGACCAAGTATCGTCATTCTCCATTTTAAGACAGATTTTAGTTTAAGAGTACTCATACAAATTAATTTTTCGTTCTATCTATAATATTTAATTTTTATTTAAATTTGCAATTATTTAACTTATAGCTTTAATAGTAACAAATTTCAAAATAATAATTAATTTACATTATTTCTTTGTACGTTCATAATAGAGAAAACTTATTAATCAATTAATTACAGTACGACACCTAAAAGAGTGATAAAATTTTCTCGTTATAACTTCTAAGAAGTAACTACTTGATTTATAACTGAAAATAAAATTCAAGAAATTTATTACGTTAAACTAGGATAATAATAACAATAATATTTTATTTAGACCTTTGCAATAGAAGGAGAAGGAAGAAGAAGGAGTGAATATCATACATGTATAGTACACGAAATATTTATTACAAATAATAGATTATAATATTAATTTATTGTTGAAATTGAGAGGAAGTAGGAATAACTAAGATTTTAAACCCAGGAATGTCAAGACTGTAAATTGCGAAATTATTTGCCAGGTTAAGTGACATGGGAGAAGAAATGGGTATAGAAATGATTTTGAAACCGGGAATTTCAAAAACAAAGATTACGGAAGAATTAGCAGGAGAAGGATAAGAAGGAACGGTAGAGTAAGATTGAGAAGTTCTATTCGTGTATGATGTCGGATCGTCCATCATAGAAAAATCAACATTGACATTGTTGTAATTATTATTATTAGTATTTGATGAACGTTCCTGTTCCGATTGAATAATATTTGATTGTTGTAAATTACTGGATTCAGTAAAATTGTATCCGTTATTATCTTGTAAATTATTTTGGTCCATAATTTTGCACGTAATTTTATAAATTTTTTTTTAGTTTTTTTTTTAGCAGAGACGATTATTTTTTCGCGATAAAATTTCCAAAAACCTTTTATAATAAAAAGAAGGTTAAATAAATAAGCCAACACCGAATCTTAGAAGAAGAAATGTAACATGTTACTTTTGTTCTTTTTTGGAAAAACAGATCGTGGTTTATAACATTCATTTTAATCATATGTCGTGATAAATGATAACTGGTTTCTCATCCAGAATTTTAAAAAGGTAACAATATTTTTTTTTTTATAAAGTTCAAATTTTATTAATAATAATTTATTTACTTTGGAAGAATAAAACGTGCTAGTTGTATTTTTCGTATAAAGATTATTTGGTTAGAATAATTTTTTGTTTTTGGTAATTCACCATGTGTTTTGTTTTATGATAAATAAATAACTCGTTTTTTTGAAACACATTTTTCTTTGGTTGTTGGTTGATCCCATCATTATTTTAGTTAGTTAATTTAAAAGATTAACACGAGTGATTACTCCCGATTACGGTAATGCATTGAAAGTATTACTTTCATTAATATACAAAATTGGGTTAACGAAAATGAAAAAGTAATATTTGTATTAGTATTATTATTAGTATTACAGTATTTAAGTATTTATTTTTTAAATAATCAATAATCGGACAAAATTTTAATATTACCTTATCGGTAATCTCATTCTTTTATTATTACCATTTTAAAAATTTCATTGTATTTTTTTTTTTATTATTATTATTATTATTATTATTTTTCATTTTATCAATAAACGTACAGGATCTGCATTTATTATTTATAGAGGGTCATGAACTTTTGAAATAAATAAAAGAAACCGGAATTGGGGAACAAAAAAAAAAATTTTTTTTTGTATATATCAGATATATATATATATATATATTTTTGTATTTTAGTTTTGTTTGCATTAAAACAAATATAAAACAATTAATCTTGGTTAAATCTTCCCGTGATATGCAATCAATATACAGGATATAAATACATATATAGTAAGTGACAAAAACAAAATTGATCCGTAAATAAATAAATGTGTGAGAATTTTAGAATTTTATATATTTTTTTTTTTCTTTGTTATTTTGGAATCGTAATTTTTATTTATTTATTTATTTATTTTTATTATTATTTTTTAAAGAATTTCGAAATTGAGAATAAAAGAAATATTTATTTTTTTTTCTGTTATATTAATTTTTTTTTAAAAAAAATTGAAAATTCGTTACAAGTTACAAACTAAAAAGGTTAAAATTTGTTACCGCAGTAAACAGGTTATTAAAATTACCGATAAAGGCGGATAAGCCCATCAAAGCCATCGATTAAAAAATACCCAGCCCAACTCATCCGTATCTTTGCCGTTAGATTTTATATCTACTACCGAATAAGATTTGTCTTACCTCATAATATATGTTACCGTGTATACAGTATATACAGTATATATCGGTATAGTAAAGAATAGATCAACGTATTTCTGGAAAATGGTGTCATCTGATCTATTACGTAATCAATATGGACTTTAAATTTAAAATCATCTCCGCCCCTCTTTACCACCCTTTCTACTTCTCTTTCTTCTGTTTTTTATAAAAAAAAAACTTTTAACTCTCTAGACAAAAAAAAAAAAAAATGTTTCACCAGTTTATTACACCAGTGACAACCAAATTATCTTTCACAAACGCTAGTGATCCTCAAAAATCAGCTAAACCTATTTCTACAATTTCATTTTATTCTAAGCCATCAACTGTTGAAAATGTTTCTTATAGTAGTGTTCAAAATGTTCAAAGGACTTCCCCCATTTCAAATTCTTGGAACGATAATCTTTTGAAAGCACCAATATATTTTGATTATCCAACTCCTCCTAACCCTTCTGTTGAAAGAACTTCTTTGGTAACCTTTAACGTTAATAATACTCAAGATACTTATCCTTCAACGTCCACTTTTCATGATTTTTCAATTAATTCTTCAGTTTATCAACCTAAATCTCCTGTTTATCGTCCTAAATCTCCTGATTCTGTAACAAAATCATATGATACTCCAATATTTTATCTTTCGTCTCCTACATCTCCTACAAATCCTATAAATTCCTCAAAAGTAAATCATCAACATCAAGTTATAAATGATTCTTTAGAATTTCATACTACTTTATCTCCTATAAGTGATTCAACAATTAATGAATTTAAAAGATCAACTTTATCGGAAAAGAAAAGAAATTCAATAGAGGTTATGATCATTTTTTGGTTTATATAATAAAAATGTATATATTTATATATAATGTATATATTAATTTATTTTCTATTTTTATTTTTATTTTTGATATTTTAGCAAAGTAATTCAATTGGGAGGATAAAGTATAACAAGATTCATAATGATGAACAGGAGAATAAGGAAAATAGTCTTGAAGAAGTTTTCAAGATAAATAATAATAATGAATCAATAGATGTAACAAATATAGATGAGAATATTCCTGCTGAACCAATACAAACAGTTAAATTAGATTCTGATGTAACAACAGATGTAAATCAAACTTTTGTAAAATCTACTACAACTACAAATCCATCAAATGAATCATCAAAACGTGGGAGAAAAATTAGACGATCTAAACGTCTTGCGGTTAAACCACCGTTAAACGTAAGTATTTCACTTTTGCGCGTGTCACATGTTGATTTATTCATTAATTACTGATTTATTATTATTATTTAGTATCGTGTCTAGGATTGGACATCACGTACTGTAACATTCTACAATTCAAACGTGATCGCTTGATTTATTATTTTTTAAACAAGTTGGATTTTTAAGTAATTCGGATTTTTTGATCTGACCTTTTGATTTTATAGAAATTATGATAATGTATAATCAAACGTGTACTTTTTCAATAATAATAATAATAATAAATCAATCAGACACAATTCAGGACTCAATGATAATTTTTTTTTAATTATTAAAAAAAAAATAAAATGAATACAATCATTACTAACTATACATAATAATTTTAGTCAAAGATTGGTAAATCGAAATCAGCAGGATCATTAAATCTTAAATTGATATTTAAAGAAGAAATTTTATGCAATTCTTCTTGAGTTAATTCAAAATCAAATAATTGTTTATTTTGTGCAAGACGATCATGATTATTAGATTTTGGTACAATAGCAATTTGACGTTGTACACACCATTTTAGCACAATCTATTTTTTAAAAACAAAACAAATAAACAAACAAATAATTAATTAATTAATTAATAAATAAAATTTAAAAATATTGATTAGGACGAAAAAACAAATTATATTACCTGAGCAGGACTTTTGTTTTTACTACTAGCAAGTTCTTTAATTATAGGTTGATCAAAAAGAATTGGAGCAGTTTTGGCTTTAGGAATCAAGTCCACGTAACTTAAATTACCAAAATTAGAATAACCAGTAACAGCCATTCCTTGAGATTTAACATAATTTATAAGTGTTTCTTGAGTTAAATAAGGATTATGTTCTATTTGCAAGACTGATGGTTTAATTCTCGCATATCTGAGTAGATCTATAATTAAACCTGCACAACAATTTGATATACCAATATTCTAGAAAATAAATATATATGAATAAGAATTATAATTATGGAACGAAAATCAGATATTCAGATTAAATCAAAACTTAAAATCTTACTTTAACTAAACCAGCATCAACTAATTCTTCCATAGCTTGCCAAGTTTCTTGGATTGGAATATTTTCTGGAATGACCTCTTTTTTATTAGGATCATAATACCATTCAGCAGGATATCTTACTTCCGGATCAACATATTTCAAAGCGATTGGAAAATGCATCAAGTATAAATCCAAATGATCAAGTTGAAGGTCTCTCAAAGTACGTTCAACGGCTTGACGAACATGTTTACGAGCGTGATTCGTATTCCATAACTGTGGAAAAGATTAACGTTTAAATTTGATAATTTTTCAAATCAAAAATCAAAAATTCCTGACAAAAATTTTACTTACTTTTGATGTAACGAAAATATCCTTAAATAATCAACAAAATAAAGGAATAAAGGAAATAAAGGAAATAAGGATTATAAAAAGGTGATTAATTAAAGAAGAACGAATTTAGAATTTTTAATTTACTTTGATATTTTTACCTCACGCTTTACAATTCCGGCATCAAACGCTTTTTTAAGACCTATACCGATTTCTTTCTCGTTTCCATAATCGGATGCACAATCCTAATTATATACAGTATATATATATATTTAGTGTTTATTAAATAGTTTTATATACAAATTATAATGAAATTTAAAAAATAAATTTCAAATTAAGAAAAATTTTTAAAAAAAAAAATTTTTTTTTAATAATAATTACCACTAAACGATATCCAAGTTTGAAAGCTTCAACAACTAAATCAGTTGCTTTGTCGTTTGGTACTTTCCACATACCCACACCAACTAATGGCATGGGTTGTCCGGTTGGATTTAATTTTACTGTAGGATTATCACTCATGGTTTTTTTTTATTAGATAAAAGGAAAAAAGGGAAAGTTTAGAAGGGTTTAGAGAAAGAGAATTTATAGTTTTTTTTTTTAAAATTAAATTGATGATCTTATTAGTTAGTATTGATGTAAACTTTTACCCAGAACCACGTGATATAACATATATGGTAATCCGAAATCATCTCACGGCATTACATTTGATCCTCGATAAATAAACTTTACATACTTATAATATTAATTATTCCAAATACCGCGAAAGTGATGTCGAAAGTGATGTAAAATTGTTATCATTATCATGTAATGAAAAAATTAGTTTAATATTTAATGATATAATTTTTTTTTTTTTAAGGTTGTAACATTTTAAAAAAAAAAAAAATCTTTTTAAATCGTCGATGGTCGATCAAAAAATCTATCATACATATCATACATGAAAAATATTTGCCGGATTTCCGGATTTTCCGGATTTCCCAAATAATTTGGCGGGAAAAGTTTTTCATATTTAGGTTTAAAGTTTAAAGTATTTTTCCGGAGTGCATCAAAATTAACATTTTTTTAGATAAACTGATAACTGATAATAAATAAATAATATAAATAGTTAATTTCGTCATTATAATGTCAACCATGTGAGGTAATATTTAATTCAAAATATTTATTATTTAAAAAAGCGAACGTGCGTAATTACATTAGAAAGTGCGTAATTATTATGTCCATCCCAGCATGTACGATGAGCGTACTGTATACTGTATATACTACTAGTCTACTAGTCTACTAGTCTAATATAACACAATACTATACTATATAACACTGTACTATACTATATATCACTATACTATATATCACTGTACTATTGTACTATACTAATAATATAATGTCTTTTCAAACCATTTTATTGCCTCGGGAAAATTTCTATCAGTTCCAATTCCATCCCTATAACATTTTGATACCAAATGAATAGCATCAAAAGAATTTTTATTTGATAATACTAAATACCATTTTAATGCTTTACTTTGATTCTTATTAATAGTATCATCAAAATAATATTTTGCTAATTTATGTTGAGCGTAAATATAACCATTTATTGCAGATTTTCTATTCCAATAAAATCCTTTCTTTTCATTTTTTTTAACATATAAACCATCATTATAATAATTTGATACTATATATTGACAATAATTATAACCTTTTTTTGCAGATTTTAAATACCATTCAAATGCTTGATATTCATCTTTTAAAATACCATTACCATAATGATAACAATTTCCTACCATAAATGATGCAATATTATAACCTCCTATAGCAGATTTTAAATATAATTCAAATGCTTTCTTTTTATCATTATTATCATAATAACAATTACCTAACATATACATTGCTTTAATATTTCCTCCTGATGATGATTTTGAATACCATTCAATTGCTTTATTATAATCTCTTTTAATATAATAATAATTACCTATAAAATATTGTGATACCGAATCTCCTTTTTCGGCATTTCTTATATGTACTTTATAATTATCCTTTCTATATATCAAAACATCTTTATAAAGAAATAATGAATAAAAATATTTTGAAATTATTTTATTCAACTTTTTAATATCATTATCAACATCATCATCATTGTTGTTGTCATTGTTGTCATTGTTGTTATCAACGTCATCATTATCATCATCATCATCATCATCATAAACGCCAACGTCACGTAAAGTGATTGTCTCAGTAATTGTTCCTTCTTTTTTGATGGAATCAAATATTTCCAAAGATTTGATTTTATCAACTTTACAACCAATTCCTTTATAATAAAAAAATCCAATCAAACTTGTATAATGAATAAAATTTTTTGAATCATTTGTTATAATATCAAATAAATTTTTAGGATCCAATTCATATTCAAATAAAAAATTATTTATATAATCTAATAATTTATCTTCAATATCATAATTATAATTATTCCAATATACTATAGGTTCAGTATTTATTAATATTAAATATAATTCTTTTAATAATTCTTTATAAATTTTTATTAATTTCATTATTAATTATTAATTATTATTATTATTAATTATTATTATTGATCGATCGATTTCGTTAATTTAATTAATATTCGTTAATTTACAGTTGATTAAAATGTTCGTTAAATTTCGTTATTCAAGGTTATTTTTTTTTGTATTTTTTTATTTTTTTTTTTTTTTTCGTACGAGATTTCGTTATCAAGGTTATATCTATCAATTATACTGATTTTTCATTAAAAAAAAAAAAATGGGCTGCTTTATATGTATTCTGAGGATCAGGCAATTTCGTGCGTGTGTTACGAAAATGCTTTTCTTTATCGGGTTTACTATTATAAGTTCCATCTAACATACTTTAAATAGAAATGTACTACCACTACGAATAAGAATCATTTTTAATCGTTTAGTAGATTTTCAATCAAAATTCGATTCCCTTGTATCAAAACGATAATGCTATTTATAATGCTTTTATAAGTATTTTAGTAATATAAAGGACGCTATATTAATGTACCCAACTTTTAAGGGGGAAAATTTTAGATTGACAAGAGATTTTCCTCTTTCTGTATCAATCATTCAAAGGAAAATTCTCATGGTATTTCCCATTGATTTTTTCCTTTTTTTTTCTCATATTTGTTGGATTGAATGATTATTTATAACCATTTTTGGTCATAACAATAACATAATATCGTTAATATCCTTATGGTAACAAATATCCTTTTGATAACAAAAAAAAAAAAAACTAACAAACTGTTTTTGTCATTTATTGTCGTTAATGTTGGGGAAAAAATATCGTGGGAATTACCAACATCTAAACCATAAAGACATTAAGGGTTGCAATCTAGACATTAAGGGCTGAAACCTAGACATTAAGGGTTGCCATAAGAGTTATGAGAATGAGAATTTGCCTTTTTCTTATCTTATTTGGTACACAACTCGTACGACTTGTACGAACTTAGTACCAACTTGTACCAACTTGTACGAACTTGTACTAGCTTGTACGACTTGTGCAGATCTTCCTCTCATACTGTGCTCTACCAAATCGCATGAAAAGGGTAGCCAAAACGTATAGTGATACCAAAACTTTCTTTTCCCTCTTTTTTTTAAAAAAAAAATTTTATTAAAAAAAAATAATCTTATCATTATTTCTATAACTTTAATATATAAAAAATTTCCCACAAAATGCCAAAAACTTCATCATCACAAATATATGATCATATAAAATTTTGTACATCTACATCATGTCTTGGACGAAAAGTTCGTCAAAAATCCAGATTAATGAATTTTATTTATGGTATATTTAATATATAATATATTTTTTTTATTATTCACTTTATTTTATTAATAATAATTAAATTTATTAAATTTATTTAAAATAATAATAAATTATCTTTTTTTTACTTAGATGTTTTGAATGTAGCTTTAGGAATTAGGTAAATAAATATATATTCTTCGTAAAAAGGATAGATTCTACGCCAAATTTCATTCGAATTTTATAAAAAGAGTTGCTCATTTAGTTGATGTGACATTTCTAACACATGAAGAAACTTTAACATTCATATCATCACTTCGTCAAGTACGTATTTTTTTCGACTTTTTTTTTAAAAAAATTTTTTTTAATTTTTTTTTGATTTTCATTTACTTCGCTCGTTCAATCAATTTATTTATTTATTTATTTTTTTTTAAAAAAAAAAAAAAATTTTTTTTTTTTATCAGAAAATTTCTCATATTTACGCTATACAATTCTCTGATACACATACATTCATATGTAATCGAGATTTATTATTATTAAAACTTGATCAGGATCTTAATAACGATTTCAAGAATATCATATTTATAGATGTATCCAAAGAAAATATTGAACCAAAGCAAGCATGTATTATATACTATTTTTTAGTTTTTTAGTAAATTTTTATTTTATTTTAAATTTTTTTGTTTATTAACTTTTTTTTTTAAAAAAAAAATTTTAGGTTAACGTACCAAATTCTTTAATTTATCTTTTAAATACACAAATTTATTCAACATTCGTAAAAGAAAATGAAAAAATAAATTCAATTTTATTTATTTCTCAAATACCTCAATGTATAATTTCTTTTACTGGATGGATTTTAGAATATCAAGTAATTTATATATTAGAAAAAAATTCATTTGAATTTGAATCACAAAATATTATTATAAATTGTCTTGGAAATCAAGAATTAAAATTATATCGAATTTTTTTAAAGAAAATTAATAATAATAATCATAATTCTGATAAAGAAAGGTAAACATAAATATTTTCATTATTTCTATGAAGAATCTTAAACTTTTTTTAACATGATTTTTTTTTAAAAAAAAAATATTATTTATATTATTAGGCATATGTTATTAAGTTTTAGTTGTCCCGTTAAAATCTTCAATTCTTTAAATGATTCTCAATCTAATAAGGATATTATTTCAACTGTATTAAATGATACTTTTACATTTAGAATTGAACAGAATCAATCCTTTTGGAATAAAGGATGGGAATTAGAGATTAGTGATGTTTGTTTACCAGTTGTAGCTTTGTAACATTCAACGTATACACGTATTATATCATATTTGAGAAATATATAATAAGCGTTTTATTTATTTAACGAACGTTAAAAGATCAATGGATGAAACAAATACTATTTTATTACAAACGAAGAATTATCGTGGAACAACTCTGGATTCTCAAAAAAAAAAAGGTTTATATTCAGGAAAAGAGAGCGAACGACTTCGCTATATAAACTTAACAACTCTAAAAATGGTATATCCGAGCGAGTTTATGATCTTTAAGGCGACACCAAGTAATAAAAATTGGGTCTCATATCCGACCGGGAAAAAAAGTTTCATATGTATTTAAAGTTGAAGTTAAATATTTAATAAAAGTTGAAGAATAATTTTTAATAATTTAGGAATAATGATATTTTATTAATTTGTAAAATAAAAATTTGTAACGATATACAAAAATATTATGCCGTTTTCAATATAGATGTCAATCATACAATACAAAAAATAAATTTTTTGTTATAAATTTTTTTTAATAATGCCTCATCTATAATTCTTCGTCTATAATGCCTCATCTATAATGCCCGTCTATAATTCTTCGTCTATAGTGCTTCTTCTATAATGCTTCGTCTATCATGCTTCGTCTATCATGCTTCGTTTATCATGCTTCGTTTATAATGCCTCATCTATAATGCCCCGTCTATAATTCTTCGTCTATAATGCCTCGTCTATAATGCTTCGTCTATAATGCCTCGTCTATAATGCCTCGTCTATAATTCTTCGTCTATAATGTGAAACATCTAAAAACAAAATAAAAAAAACAGCGTTAGTATGGTTGGTACCCGGGTGGAAGAACCACCACCACACCATACTCCATAAAAAAAAAGCCTCTTAGAAAGGAAGGTACCATGCTACCAAAGTGGTCCCTACTGTCATGGTCCTTCGGGATACCACCGGTGGTTTACGACACCACCAAACAGGTAATATCGACTTTTTTTATTCTGTTAAGCGTGTATCATTAAAACTATGGCTAAGAGCAGGGAGCGCACGCTTACCTTAATAAAAGATTTACCATCCAACTACACGGTAGCCCTAAAATCGTCAGGCTTATCAGAACGCTATGGCTGTGTTAGTTATCCGAACGCTAAAAATATCAAGGTTTAAAGAAAAAATAAAATTATAAAAATACAAATAGTTTAAAGAAGAAAAAGAAAAAAAGAAAATTATAAAAATAAAATAGTTTAAAGAAGAAAAAAAATAAAAGAGAAATCCATATATTTATATAATTTTATCAAAATCAGATGACCATATATAAAATTTTGACATTATTACATTTTTGTAAATTTTACTTTGCATGAGTCATTATAAATATCCTTGTTGGTAAAAATCAGATAGGTGTCACCATATGATAATTTATATGTCGTCAATATTTAAGTCATTATTTCCATATAAAAAGAAGTCAATAAAAATAAAATAAAAATGTACACATGAAAATATTCTTGCTTACTTATTATCACACGATGTATATATATATATATAATGACTATAATGACGGATTTTTTTCTCCGCCAATACATTTATATGTTGAAATAAAATTATCATTATTGTAAACTTCTATTTCAGAAATGTAAGATTGACACAATAATTCTACATTTTATTAATTTATTAGTCTATAAAAAAAAAGTATTTAACATAATAATTATTAATAAACGATAAACTACATCAATAAAGTCATATTTTTAATAACGAGACTTTTTCTTTTCATAATATTTTTTACGCTAATAAAAACAAACAATTTTAAGATAAAAAATAATTGAAAAATTATTTGCAAAATGTATAGATATCAACATATTAAATGATACAACCGAAAGTTATTACCAGTTAACGTCTATGACTTATTTTATATTATACTATAGATGTTATGTTCGCCCAAAAGACCGAAACAACATCTGCAATTATCGTAATTTGATAAAAAACGATCATTAAGTGTCTTTAACTTTGAACTTCGAAAGAGCAGAAGTAAATCAAACTCGTATTAGCGTTGGATTCAAATTAATTATTAATAAATTTCTACGTTTCCGTTTTATCTAATATAGCTAAAATTATTTTTCTTGTTCCCATAACCGGGATTTTGGCGATCCAAATCAGATTACAGACTCTTTACAAGTCCTAATATTTATAGAGACCACAAATTCAGACCTCTATTGTACCAAAATCCCGTTCATCTCATATGATATGGAATTTTTTTAACATGGTTTAAATTAATAATAATGACAAATTCGGACAAAAAGTGACTAAACGTCATAACAATTTAAGTTCTCTGATAAAAGAATGATAATTTTTAACTACTTATTTTTGAAATTTAATATTTTTACGAGGAAATGGGCGCAGTAGTTTCTTCATGTAACCAGAAGAAATTGTCCGGTAAACGTCTATCTCGTGGTTATCCAATACCTGAACAACTTATATCAGAAACAAAAGTGTGTTTTATGTTTTAATATTGTTCCTTTCCATATATTTATTATTTCATTTGCGTATACGTAAATATAATTTTTTTTTTTTTTACCACACATTTCAAGAAGACGACAAAATTGAAGAAGCAAAATGTCAAGCAATCTAAATCAATTAATACCGATGATAATTTATTCTGGTAAGTTTGTTATTTAACATTATTTAATGTTCTTACAATAGTACAATTTCAACTTAATGTGAAACATCATTTCATAGTTTATGGACTGATACAAATTATAAGTATTGTGAATGTGGAGATATATTAACAATAAATTTTACTGAAACATCCGATATTTTAATAGATCATTGTGAATATGTTGACGATTTCATTATTTCTTATGTTCATAACAAGATAATTTCAGTTGATATATTTGAAGCATCAAATTTATTATGTTGTCACTTGTTCGATATACGGGAGATAGTAGACAATAAGCCACCTCTTAACCTTTATTCTATTTACTGTAAAGATCATGATGAATTAAGAGTTTACTTTACTGATACTATTTTGTCTACAAGTCAGAAAATTGAGATGAAAGATAATGATTTGTTGGAAATTATTTCATCTACAACAACATTACAGAAAATTAAGATTGAAGGTGATGATATTTTATTAGAAATGGATGATGATAAAAAAATTGTGACGTTATGGTTTTGTAATGCTAATGATAGAATAGAGAATAAGTTATCAAAAGAAGACAGAAAAACTTATTAAGAAAAAGATGGATCATAAAATCTTGAATTGCGGTCTCTTAATTATTAGTTTTTCGTAAAATAATAAAAATTTGACCTGTATGATTGGTTCATTTAGTTACACTTGTGCTCTAGACTTTCTTGAAAACTGATTGCGTGATTTAAATTTTATAGTCTACTAATAAATAGAATCCAGTAATACTATCACAATTTTTTGTCATGTGATTTTGCAAATTCATATCGGCGATTCGCCGATTCGGCGTAATATGTCAATTTTTTCACTTTTGTTACACATATCATAATAATATATATAAGGCGCAGTAAGACTTCCCAACGCGCGATTTTATTCATCATCGATGTCACATCCCTCCGTGTTTTAAGTATCCGAAGAACAAATTTTTTAGTATAAACAAGAAAAGCTTGCATTAATAATTTTTTTTTATGTTACTGGAATGCATATTCGTTTCTACACTCTTCTGGAATTTGGGATGGTCATCAAAAATCCCGTCACGCCCTATATGACGACACATAAACGTCATACTTAATTCCAGCTGAATGTCGTAGTGCCCAGGATAGTTGACCGGAGACAAACATTAAAAAAAATCTATTTGATTTTATCAAGTCATAATTTAATAATACTTGTTTTCGCTAAAATTCAGTAAATATGATTTTTGGTAATATTGATTTAATATTTGTAATAAGATTTCTCCTTCTACATTGACTTCAAATTTTTTTTTGCAGAAATTCGAAATATACATAATCATAATCATTTTAAGCATAAAAAGTTCCTATATTGCTACAATTAAATAAATGTAAGCTAATCAAATATTTTTAAAAAAAATATGAAAAATATATAAATTTCATTTATACCAAATAAAAAAACTTTAAATAATATTTATCGACTTTTAAGTACTTTTTATAAATATTTGTGACGGGGTAAAACTTGCTAAATTTTATTTTAAATTTTATTTGTTTAAGACATACTCATTTTTTAATAATACATATCAAAAATTACTATTTAGGAGGTGAGGAATGGATTTTCGCGTTTATATAAGTGATCGGTTGGTGTGTCAAAAAAAACACCTGTTCAATTCGCACAATAAATATTTATACCGTTATACGTGTTGTGTAGTATACGGGATTGTCCGGAGATTTTTTGTGAGGTAAGACGAATAGTAGTATAGTATGGGTTGTCTATTGAGTATTTTATGACGTATTAACTGATGTTGAGTATAGTGTATGAAATTTACTATACTCCGTTGTATGTATGTAACATTAATTAATTTGCAAAGAGTAATTAGTATAAAATGCGGATTTCATTTTTATTTAATTAATGCAAATTTTTACTTTTATAATTTACTATTGATAAAGCTATTCTAGCTTCAATAAAACTATTCTAACATCTAATGTAACTTTAACTCCCGCTCCTTCTCAAGGTTGGACAGTTCCGTTACACAAACTTTTGCTTCACGTTCTCTTAATAAAATTTCACGTTCTTTTAAAGCTAGTTCCCTCTCTCGATATTCAAGCTCATTAAAATTTAAGTTTAAATTTTCTTTATTATGATTATCATCACAATTATCATCGGAACCAGAAATTGTGACAATTGTTTTGGTTTTCTTGTTAGAATTTGCGCGTCTACATTTCACAGTTGTAGAGTTTGGAATCGATTAAGGTTAATCGATTAATTAATCGACTAAGACGGTTAATCGATTAAGGTATCTCAAAAATCGGTTAATCGATTAAAATTATCGACCCATAATTCTGGTCAAATTATCTAATGCGGCCCAGAGCTGTGAATTTTTGGTCACGTGTTCTCCGAACTTGGAAGAATTTGTATTAATTTTTTGATGATAATAACAATAAATAAGACTTTCCTATAACTAAATGTATGATCAAAAACAATTTGGTGCAATCTGCGGTCAAAAAAAAAAAAAATTTTTAATATTTTAATATTAATCGATTATTAATCGATTAGGGCCCTTGGTTAATCGATTATTAATCGGTTAAGGTTTTTTTGGTCGGTTCCAACCTCTACACAGTTGATTTTGTAACGTTCAATTTTTTAATCTGTGTATTAGCTAATATATAAAAAAAATTAATAAATTTAATTACCTTTACACTTGTTAGACTGAACATTGCGAGTTATGGGTACTTTGTCTCGCCTTCTATTGGGTATATTGTATGTTTTATGAATTTTAATGGCGCTAAATCTTCTTTATCCAATCTTTGCCCTCTACAACCAATAAATGGAAATTTTATTTATATTCGTATTACTCATTGATTATTGTAGTACATATATACGCAATAATTGCAACATACTAAGTATATACGCAGTAGTATGTTTACAAAATGTATATCATTTCACATGATTATACGATAATCATTTGGTCCACCATACTATGCTACTATTCGTATTACTCTTTTTTGTGACCGTGTCCCATGACAACACTGCGTAATGTATTACAATTTTGTAACTTTGTAAATATACTGTATGTAAATAACACGCGCATGCATTATGCATACATTCTTTTTTGTGTTATCAATCTTTTATTATAAACATTTTCCTTTTTTTGAAGTTTCATTTTTAGTAAAATGGTAAAATGTTGCCAATTCAAGTATTCAAACAATTTCGTTTTAGGGTTTAGTCGCACAATAGAATAATTTTTTTCTGATGATACAGTATGCGACATTTTGCCATCAGCTTAAATTGGTATACAGCCAGGAGAATCAAATCCATATTTGGTATTATTTATTACATTTTAAGGACTAATACGCCTATTATGTATTATTAGTTAGCATTAATTTTTTAAAAGATCAAACTTTTAACATTATAAATAATACATAATTTAATCCACCTTTTTTCAAAGTCGATTTATTATAAAAAGATCCTATTAAAAAAATAATCCACTTCACTTTTTTTTATTTATTTATCATAATTCTGCAAATCCCATAATCCCATACAAAATTTAACCATGGATAATAATCCTTCACAAATAATCATTTTACCGAATCCATTAATTTACAACAATCAACCGCTGCTGTTATTCAGCCGGGTCATGAGAATTCTTCAAATATAAATCACAATGTCGTCAATGCTGACCTTTCTATGATAAATGATAATAATATCTTTCCGTCTTATACAAATAACAATCACTTCAATCAACAACCCACGTCTAGTAGTTCAACTATGCAATCCTATCCACCTCCAATCACCTCGTCATATGCGCCGCAGTATGTTCATCCGTCGCAGCCTATTTCTTCACCCGGTTCATTTAACATGGCTAGCATTAACCCTGGCGTCTACAGTTTTGATATCCCTGGATTTAAAATTATTGTCGTACCCATTTGTTCTCAACAAGATAATACTTATATTAATTCCTCTTCAAATAGTATGGGTAATCAATTTACTCAATTTACCCAATTTCGACCATAAATTTCTAATCGTATACAGTATAATTTATATAAAAAAATCCATCAGTAAATGTAGTTAACATAATTTTTTAAATAACAAATCAGGATAATTAAACTATTTTTATACTATCTATTTTTATACTATAAATAGCAATTATTAGCTCTATATCCTATGGCGTCAAAACTAACTTAAAAGAGTTTTGTGCTGGTAGTTATGAAAATTGGAAAAGAGTCAATTAATCATTTTATCAAAAAATCTAGAATAAGTAATAAACTTTGACCAAATAATCCGTTATCTTTCCCTAAATATAATGAACAAATTTAAATTCATTTATCTTGTCAATATTAATCGTCACTTGAAGAAGCTGTTAATAACAAAAGAAAAAGATTAAACGCTTAATATTTAATCAAGTTATTATAATATTTTATTTATATAATGTAAATAATATAATAAATAAATAGGATACAACGGTTAGCTTCCTACGGTAAAAATTTACTTATTCAAGATAAAAAGATAAATATAAAAATAGAAATAAGAATAAAAAAGTAAGAATTCGAAAAATAGAAAATATCATATGATGTTAATGGATTTTATGCCGCATCCTAATTGTACAGTTAAAAAAAATCTCGATTAGTTGAATTAAAATTTTAAAATATAGAAAATTGGAAATAATTCCTAAAATGTGGCGTAGATTTCGACCAATAGAATTGATTGGCCAATCAGAACTTGGGTTGGTAAATGACCAGAATTATTCATAGAGTGATAAATCATTATAAAAATGAGCAAACATAAATTTTTCTGCAAAAAAAAACACTCACTTCAATTGTTCAAAAGCTCCCAGATATAAAATTTAACTATGGATAATAATCAATTACAAAATAGTGGTTATTCTCCACTGCAGAAGCGCCCAATATAAAAACAAAGTTTTACTTTAACAAAATAATTAAAAAGTAAATTTATCATTAAGCGTCTATTATTTTTAATGAAGAACATGAAAAAATCAGGATTACACTCATTACAGTCTCAATGAATTATTATTTATTTACATATACGTGCAAACAAATTTTAGAAATAAAAATTAATTAAATAAGAAAATATGCGTAAATTTTTTATCGCTCCGGTTTTAATTTTTATTAATTTATTTATATAAAAATTCTATATAATTATGTGTTATTTCATTAACTCCATTTAAATATTGACCCTTGTGAATTTATCCGAAAGATTTTTCCTGGTATTTTTAAAGTTTCACATTTAATCTACTAACCATAATTCCAAATTTGGACTAAAAATCTCTCGGATAATTTATATATTGTATTGTTAGTATAGATGAACTAGCCCTTTAAATTTTTTTTTTTCGTTAGAAAAGGAAATCACTTACAGATAAAAATGGAAATCACTTGTTCACTTAATCACTTTATTTTGATTTATCATTTTAGGAAAAAAAGTTCGTCTGATTTTATATTAAAAAAAATCCGAAATCATTTTCTTTTTTCTCCTTTTATAAAAAAATTTATTTCAAAAAAAAAATCATTATCTTTTATTCATCTTTTGCGGGGGGAATTCTCAACATTCTTCTAACGTAACTTATATTTTAAGCATCTTCTCAGTAATTGATTTCCTGTTGTTTAATTATACGATTTTATCTATAGGATCATGTGATTTATAGAAAACAATAATCCGGTTCAGTTTCAAAATAAACACGTGACATATTTAGCCACATTAACTTACCTGTTACTGTATTTAATTACCGAAAAAAGAATCATATTTTCATTCGAGAAATCCTTTTTGTCATACATATACAGTATGTACAACCACACACGAAAAAATACCAATGAAAAATTTTTTATGTTGAAAGGTGATCATTGCTCAATTAACTTTACACAATAAAAAAATTTTTTTTATTGCATGCAGGAGGCTAAATTTTACGTACAGCCATGCATATTTAACATGTGTCACAAAATAAAAAAAAGTATATAATCGCAAATGGACGATATAAAAAAATAATTTTTTGGTAATAAATTTATATATTTATAAGCGATTACCAAATGGATGATATTTCAGTAAAAATTAACGAAATTGAAATCGATGTTGATAAAATTGATGTTGATAAAATAGATATTGATAAGACCGATGTTGATAAAAATGAAGTTGACAAAATATTTACCTTCGATAATATCAATGATGAACCACATAACGGTAAACCTATTACTATGATAGAAATATCACCAAATGAAAACTACCTTATTACTTATAGCAAAAAAGATCGTTCAGTTGCCGGTTGGAATGTTGAAGATATGGATAAAGTTCAACTTAAATTTGATCAAACTGTTAAAATTGATGATAGTAAAATCAATAGTTTATGTGTTTCTGATGATAAGAAACTTGCTTATGTTTATCTTCGTGGGAATTATAGGCGTTGTTCTGGTAAGTAATAATTATTTGATTATGTAATTATTAAATTATGATAATTATATTTATTTTAATATTTTTTAGTAATCGATATGAATAATAAAGATAAAAAAATTGCATTAGATTTTGATACAAAACTTGCTTATACAAAGTATTGTTATTGCACCTTTAATTTGAATGGTGAATTTATTTTGTATAGTGAATTTTACTTTAATAGTACTTTTGGAAAACATAAAATTATTTGGATTTATTCTACACAAACTAAAAATAACAAATGGGAATGTAAGAAATTTTACAGGATACCTGAAGATTATGAATTAATTAGTATATCAAAATATGATAATGTTTACCTGGTTTCAAATGATTACATTTATGAATGGAATATTAATACTGAGAAAAGTGTAAAAATATCTGATAAAAATAAGGATAAAGATGAGGTAATAAATATTATAAAATTATTTTCAAGCCAATCGATGTTAAATTTTAATTAGATATATTAAATACTATTTATTTTTTAGATTGAAACAAAAAATATCGGAATATTTAGTAATGAAAAGTTTATTTTTCTAAAAATCAATGATAAAATTATCATTTATTCAATCGAATTGAGGATTCCTATTGCTTTTTTGGATAAAGATAATGGTAACCATTTTTAAAATTTTATTTATACTTTAATTATTACTCATATTAAATCGTTATTTTTTTTATTTAGATATTCAACTATATAATTTTATGAATCATACTGGCTTATTTCTTTTACCTTCTTTATTCTATTATACACCAGATAAAGGAATCTGGAATTCCATTAAATATTGCTGGAACAATAAATACAAAAATGGGTCTAATCAAACTTTATTTGATAAACCAACTGATGAACAAACAAAGTTTGTGTTTGGAATTCTAAATGGACGCGTTTGGAAATCTAAATTTGACGAGAAGATGCCAAAAACGAATTTTTCATCTGAATATTCTGATGAATTAAATAGAGAAAATAATAAAATTATTGAATATAATGATAATGATAAAATCAACAAGGAAACTTACGAACACTCAAATATTCATTTATATATGGATACTGTATCTACATTATTTCAAAAAGCCATAACAATTGGTGATATTAATAGATATAATTATTCAACTAAATTAATTGGAAATTTAATTAAATGGGATATACATGTTTGTAACGGTAAAATTGACCTGGCAGTTTTTAATAAACATAATACTGAATGGAATTTAATAAACGTGAGAATTGAAAATTATTATTATCCTTATAAATATTACAAATATCTCAGCGATTTTAAAAATAATCATCAATTAATTGCGAGCTCATTATTTAATAACAATGATATTGTTATGTTGACAACATTTGGTATTCTTATTTATACTTTTAGTGAAAATAACAAATCTATTTCTTTAAACTATTTTTATTATATGAAATTCGATGTTTTTAAATATAATAACAGCAAATATATGGAAAAAATACTTCAACATTACAAAAGGATATTTTCAAAATCTACTTTACCATTGCCAAATTATGATAGTTTTAGATTAAATGGATGGGTTTCAGATGTAATAAATAATAAGTCAAGTTTTTTGAAATATGGAGGTGAATTATTAAAATTTGCAATTAATGAACATAAGTTAGAAATAATTGATGATATTTATAAAAATATAGAAAATAATAAGTCAAGTCTTTTGAAATATGGAGGTGAAATATTAACATTTGCAATTAAAGAACATAAGTTAGAATTAATTGATGATATTTATAAAAAATGTATGACATATTTTAAAGAGGGTTTAATGTACAATAAGTTATTTTTAAGTATTATCACTTCCACAATGCCATTACTAGATAAATATTATCCGAAATATATTCTAAAATATTCATCAGAAACGAATATGATCATAGATTCTTCTTTTTATATTATAGAGCATCAAAATAAAAATTTACATCTTTATTCTTTTTTTCAATCTCCTCAAATAGCTAATTTATCGAAATCTCTTTTATGGACAAAATACTATTGTGAAGTTAATTACACATTTTATAAAATATTTAAAAAAAAGTTATTATTGGATATTTTGGCTTTTTTATTTTCGTGTATTGCATGGTTTATTCAAGCTTTAATAATACTTTTAACTTTACCCCTTTATTTGGCTACATTTCATATTTTATCAAAATTTAACTTTATTAATAATATTTACCCTGTCGATGCATTTTCTTTTGTTTATTTCTATGTTGATCTTAAAATTTTCAAAAAATATATAACAACAACACCAACAATTACTTTCATGATTCCTTATATTAATTTTGTTAATTATTCAAAAGATTATAGTTGGTTTTTAGAATTAATTAGACCTCAACCTAGTCCATTTACTGAAACAATAAATAGAAATATCTATAAAACATGGAATGGAGAGGCATTAATTAATTTTAAATGGAATACTTATGGAAAATATTATTATGCAATGATTTGGATTTTATTTATGGCATTACTTGGATGCTTTACTGCTGCTGCGACAATTCATCAGAAATATATCAATGAAGAAGTTAGACAACAACTTTTTATTGCTTCAATTATACTTGGATCTATTCATCTGATTTTTGAAATTCGTCAATTTTTTTATAATATTATTAAGTGGTTCTATAATTTTTGGAATATTTTTGGTAAATATAAATGTTTAATTTAATTATTTTACAATATCTTTATTTAAGAAAATGAAATTAATTATATAATATTTTAAATTACAGATATAATTGCTTATGTGCTTTCAATTTACACTTCTATATACTGGCTTCAAACAAATGATAAGAACAATAATTATCTAATCACTTTGCTTTCTTTTTCATGCTTATTTTTAGATATAAAATTTTTGTTATTTTTTAGAGCATTTGAATATTTTGGTGTATATTTTGCAATTATTATTGGTGTTGGAAAAAAGATTTTTTCTTTTTTAATAGTCTTATTCATTATTGTAATAAGTTTTGCACATGCATTTTATATTTTATTATCACCAAGATCTAAATTTTCACTTGAACAATATAATATAAATAGTGATGATCCAAATAATCCTTGGAAATTAGCTCCTAGTTATAATCAAATAATTGATAATAATGGAAATATAAACTCCAATCCATCTATGATTCAAATACCTGATAAAAATACAAACATGTTTATGGATATTAGAACTTCTCTTTTTGCTATGTATTTATTTTTAGCAGGTATGTTTAAAATTTCATAATTATATAGATATGCATAAATATTTTTCTAATACCTTTAAGCAATCCTTCTTTCCTATCAATAGGTGATTCAAGTGCATTATCCAATTGGGAATATACAGAAAATCCATCAATTGCAGTATTGATTGTTTTATTTTCCCTCTTAGTTGTTGTATATCTTATGAACTTGTTAATTGGATTACTCAATATAGAAATTGGAGAAGATAATAATAGAGTCTCATATTTGATACAGAAGGCAGAAGTAAATAATATTAATATTAATTATTCCATTTCTGTAAATATACTAATATATCTCAATTTTTATATTTTTAAAGATTTTGGCAGAGATTGAATTATTTTACCTATTACCACATCAGAGACGTTGGCATACATGGTTTCCTGAAGTAATGTATGTAATTTTACTTTTTTTAAAAAAATTTATTGTTATTATTGTTATGATTTTATTAATATTCAAATTTATTTTTTAAGACATTATTATGCTGATACTGATAAGACTCGAATAGAAATTGAAAGATTGATTGAAGAGGGTGAATGGGATGCTAAGGAATTCACTGAGATGCGAGAAAATTTATTAAAAGAACTTCAAATTAAACATAATCCTATTGACAATGAGGTAATATTGGAGAAATTAAAATCTAATGATGAAAAATTGGAGAAATTAAAATCCAATGATGAAATATTGGAGAAATTAAAATCTAATGATGAAATATTGAAGAAATTAAAATCTAATGATGAAAAATTAGAGAATTTAGAAAAGAAATTGGAAAAATTAGGGAAATTATTAGAAGAAATACATGCAAAATAATTTTAATATTACGTTAGTTTTATAAACTGAAATTATAGATAGTGTATTAAATGGGCCCGTTTGTAATCAATTATAAGAATGAATAAATATATTTTATGTTTTTTCTTTAATCACATAAATTCTCTAAATTATTCATTTCAGTTGTTTTTTTTTTTGAAAAAAAAAGATTGATAATATTGAAAATTTTCAATATATAATACACTATTACTTACATAATTAATCTTACTACATAACATGGTGTTAGATATGAAAATAAGTACGTGGAAAGTGGAAACACATTCAGTTAATATAGAATATATATTTGAATAATTTTACCACAGTACACCACTTAGATATATAGTCCAATAAGCTAACATAAAAATGTTTGTCAATAATATTAAACAAATTTTTTACCAGAATATCCATATCGATGGTTCATTTGACAATATTAAATTATATTTAACATAAAAAGTGAGATAATAGTATATGCAATAGTTAAAAAATTCAAATTAAAGCGATTTTCTAGTTCATTATTTTCTTTTAAAAGGTATTACTAATTTATATTTTCCATTATTATTACCCATTCGAAATTACACCACGCAAAAATGATTGAAGTATTGAAATTATAGAAATTTATAGAGTTTTAGTCTTACTAATTTGTACGAAAACGCCCAATATAAAAACAAGTTTTATTCTGAATAAGAAAAGTTATCATCAAGCATTTATTATTTTTAATGAAGAACATACTCTTCAGTGAAATGAAAAAAAAAAAATAACAGTCTTAATGAATTATTTATTTCCACGTGTATACAATTATACTAGGAAACGATGTATGACGTAGCTAAGGAATATTACATGGGTTAACTATCAAATCGTCTAGTGCATAGGGATGGGGATCGGTCCGTCGGTTCTATTTCGGTTCTTCGTTGGTTCCGCCTCGGTTCTCATTAAGTAAAATATGAGCTACATGCGTCAAATTTAAGACGCAGGTAGAGCATGCGGTGAAGATCGATTAGAAAATTTTGATTGGTGATCAAACGATGGTTGGTCCGTGATCGTCATAATTTTAGCCGGTTCCGGTTCGAAGTTTAGAACAGTTCCCAGAGTGTTTCAAGTTCAGAATCTGCTAAAATTAGAATCGGTTCCAGAACCGGTTCGGAACCGCTCTGTTTGGAACTTCCTCATCTCTACTAGTGCATAACAATAAAATGTCCTTAGCTATTCCCTGGACAAAAAATAAAAATTAATTAAATAAGAGCACGTGGAGAGTTGTGACGTAAATTTTTATCGCTGATTTTGTGTAAAATTGCGAGAATTCTTCCAGGTTTATTTAGGCCACGCAGACATGATTTTCAGTCCATGTAATATTGAAATTTAAAGTCATCCCCGGGTTTAATTTTATTTTTTTACATTTTATATAGAATCGTTACATAACTTCTTTTAAAGTAATTAACTAATTACACGTTTAAACTTTTTTTTCTTTTTTTATTCCAAAATTTTTAAACAGTATATCATATACACGAATAAGTTACAATTCTGAAATCTTGAAAGATTGAGAAGGTTTATCAGTTAAAAAGGAACAAAATAAGATTCTATGGGTTGAGATGTATGATTCACCTGATTTGTAAAAAGCATATTTGAAGCGAAATTTAGTCCATCAAAACTGGAAAAAAATTTTTGTCCAAATTATCTAGATTTTCAATCATGTAATATTTGTCCAATCAAAATATATGTGAGCGGATAAAATTTTTTTATTTTTTCGTCATTTTAAACATAAAAAGTTCCTATATTGTACAATTAAATAAATGTAAGTTAATTAAATATTTTAAAAAGAAAATTGTCATTTATCGCTATAGCGACATATCGCCAGTCTATACAGATCATGTGATTTATTGATTTAAACTCGTGATTTACTTTTTTAAACTATAATTAGATTATGAAAAAAAGATTATCGTTATTTTTTCTCACGATTGTCTCCTCATTTACCAACAATTTTAAACTTTCATTAATAACGACCAATACATCCTTGCTTATTTCACTCCTTTTACTCATAAACAAACTTTTTTTTTACTCTTTTGTATTATTTCTATATGGTAAATATATGATATGGACGAAGAAAGTAGACATGAAAGTCCTAATAATGGTACGTTAATAATAAGCATTAGGCTTATCTTTATATTGGTGTTGGGATCGCGTTAGGGTTAGGGTTAGGGTTAGTTTGTTTAGGATTAGGATTTAGGGTTAGAAATTAGGGTTAGGGTTAGGGTTAGTTTGTTTATAGTTTATAAGTATCTAACTCTTCTTTTTTTTAGTTATTTGTAGTGGGCAACCTATATTATTCAATGAACATGATACTGTATCTTTGTATTCAGGAAAGACCTTTACGTCATGGGAAGAATGTGAACAATTTTTGAATGAATGGGCAAAGAGTCAAGGTTTTCATATAATTAAAGATCGTGTAACCCGTTGCCTTTCAATCGTACAAAGTGGAATAATTTGCAGACATTACTTTCAAGTAATGTTAGCTACCAAAGAAGCTTTTTTCATATTCAATTTATTCCAAAGCGATGGTATAATATAAACAAAGATGGATCGCAAGAACCATTCTTGGTTGCTGATAAATTTATACAAGATGATCAACAACATTTTTCTTATGATTTTAATGATTCTTCAAGTTTATGTTTATTTAATCGGAATAATAGGGAAATTGATGAAGAAAGATTGACAATTCTTGAACAAAAAATTACATATGGCAAATTACACAGAATGTATAAGAAGGCTCTGAACAAGGCATTGCAGTAATTCTAAATCAGAGCAACTCATCAATTTATTACAAAACTTAGCAGAGGAAGAAGAATCAAATCCATCAGATTCTGATGAATTAGAGTTGCAACAAGAAATCATTACAGGTGATAAGGAAAATTTTGATCCTTCAATACCAAAGTTACAAAATCCTAAGATACGTCGTGGAAAAGGCTGACCATTAGGCACAAAACGCTTTAAGTCTTCTTGTGAAGCAAATAAAACCAAATCAAAAACACAACATCATTGTAAAAGATGTGGGTTGGCCGGTCATTATCAAAAGAATTGCAAGGTATTTTCGTATAGCCTTTTTACGATTCTTTTGCTTTTTATTTATACTAAGATTATCATTATGCATTTTATTAGGAAGAAGCAGTTAATAACTAGTTGATTTTTTTATTGAGATATAATAACGCTTACAATAATGCATTATTTGCTTGTAAATTATTTATAATGTAATATTCGCTAATTATTGCTAATATAATAAAAAATGTATAATTAACGATAAGTCACATGTAATGTAAATCACGTGATTATATGGACTGGCGATATATCGCTATAGCGATAAAAAATAAAACCCTTTTAAAAAAATATGAAAAATATATAAATTTCATTTATACAAATCAAATAAAAAAACTTTAAATAATATTTATTGACTATTGGATACTTGAGACACACTATTTGTTTTATTTAATCAAGTGATCATCTGTCAGATGATTTTTTTGATTTTTTGGTATTACGAAATAATTTTGAGTAACGTATCTTTCACAAAGTTTTTGGAGATTCAGTTTGGTCGGTTTTTGTTGTACTGTACGTCAGGGTAGCGTTTTTTTTTCTTTGTGAGCAAATAGTAGATGTCTACAGAAAATTTTATTGAAATTTAGGATTTATAATAAAATGGGGTGAGTGCTAGAAAAAGGGTGAAACTCAAATTTTTTATAGTGACCAATCAATACAAATTTGAGCAATTAATTATTCAAAATATTCATTATTTAAATAAAATAATTTTTTTTCTCCGAATTTTTTATATTATGGTAACACATTATAGATAATACATAATCTTAATCTACCTTTTCAAAGTTGATTTTATTATAAAAAGGTCTGAATTTTCTTCACGAAAAAAATAATCCACTTCAATTTGTTTTTATTTATTATATAGATCTACAAATCCCATACAAAATTTAATCATGGACAATAATCCTTCACAAAATAATCATTTTACCGAATCCATTAATTTACAACAATCAACCGCTGCTGTTATTCAGCCGGGTCATGAGAATTCTTCAAATATGAATCACAATGTCGTCAATGCTGACCTTTCTGTCCTAGCGAAGTGAAAGAGTTTTTATTTTGATAAATGATAATAATATCTTTCCGTCTTATAGTACACTTCAATCAACAACCCACGTCTAGTAGTTCAACTATGCAATCCTATCCACCTCAAATCACTTCGTCATATACGCTGCAGTATGTTCATCTGTCGCAGCCTATTTCTTCACCCGGTTCATTTAACATGGCTAGCATTAACCCTGGCGTCTACAGTTTTGATATCCCTCGATTTAAAATTATTGTCGTACCAATTTCTTCTCAACAAGATAATACTTATATTAATTCCTTTTCAAATAATATGGGTAATCAACTTACTCAATTTACCCAATTTCGACCATGAATTTAGTATAGTATATACAGTATAATTCATACGTAAAATCCATTAACAACCATCACGATATTTTCTATTTTTCGAATTCTTACTTTTTATTCTTATTTCTATTTTATATTTATCTTTTATCTTGAATAACACTAGTAAATTTTTACCGTAGGAAGCTAACCGTTGTATCCTATTTATTTATTATATTATTTACTAGTGCTCCATACGGGTCGGGTTAGGTCAGGTTTGAGGGATGTTCGAATTCGACTCGAATATTCACGTAATTCGACTCGAATGTTCGGGTCGATCAACTGTATAACCCGAACTTGACTCGACCCAATTATAGCTTAACCCAGATAACCCGGGTCAAACTCGAATTTATATTAACTGAAATTTATGATCAACAAAATTGATAAAGTTACATTTAAACCACTTCACTAAATTTTGCAACTTTAATTATAATAATGTTGTTTATTTAATTAATTCAATATAATTTCAAGCTTATAAATAATGTAAATTTTGTGGAAAAGGGGACTTTATTTAAAAATTTTTTAAAATATTTACATGTAACAATGACTACTAAGAAGTGTTTCCTTCATTATGAAAAAATCGTTAAGGAAAATTTGGTATAATGCGGTAAAATTAGAAAATCAACAATTTGTTGATAAAATAGATTATTTATAAAGTAGTAAATTTGCTTATTCATAAAAATCAACGTCAAATTACCCTTTATGTTAAAATTTATCTTGCAAAAATCTTCGTTATACTAAAAAAAAAAAAAATTCGTTATAAAAAGGGTCATGCAGATTATAAAAATTACTTCGTTAAATGGTATACCACATTTTAATTAGTGATGTTCGGCTCTTATAACGATCATTTTTTATATGTTAAAATCGGTATCATGCTGAAAATTCGTTGTATTGTGAAATTCATTATATCAAAATTCACTATAAAAAGGAGCTTACTAAATAGTTGTATCCTGTTTCTTCTATAAAAATGTATTTGATAATAAAATGGTTCATAAAAAATATTCAAATTTTTATTAACGAAGATTTTTTAAGTAAGTTATAAATTTATATTGATTCTTAAAAGTTAATAAAGTCGTGAAATTTTGATGAAAAAACTTGTAAATATAGAAAATTTTTATTTATGATATATAGTATGTAAGTTATATCCATTTTATTTTTATTTTTTGGTTTTACTTTTATTATAAACTGAGTAAAACATAATTACATTAAGAACTAGGAAAATCGCGTACAATTTTTTAACATTCTAAGTGTTTATTATTGCAAATAAATTTGATAAACATGATCTGATAACATAAATATTACTATCATGTAATAGGGCTAAATATTAAAAATCATAACGGGTCAGTCGGGTCATGGATGATCTTATAAATTCGGATTTATCCGGAAAACAAAAACACCAAACATAACCGTATATACTAATTTTATGCTGACTCCGTAAATAATATAAACATATAAAGCTTTCTCCACAAAAAGAAATTCACTTCAATTCCTGGCATAAATCTACAAATCTATTAATACAAATAGCTGACGGAAAAGCGAAAAGCACCAGAAAACGGAAAATATCCAGCTAATTATAGATAATAATAATCCTTCGCAAAATAATCATTTTACCGAATTCATTAATTTACAACAATCAACCGCTACTGTTATTCAGCCGGGATATGAAAATTCTTCAAATATAAATTATAATGCTTTCAATGTTGACCTTTCCATGATAAATGATAATAGAATCTTTACATCCCACACAAATAATAATCACTTCGACCAACAACCCACATCTAGCTAGTAGTTCAACTATGCAATCCTATCTACCTCGTCATATATACCGCAGTATCCGTAGCCTATTTCTTCACTTAGAATTACAACTGTTTTTATATTATTCGGGACAAAGCAAAATTTTGAACCAGACATCCGGTCCGATATGTCTGATGTCGGATTGTCACGTTTGTTTATTTACATAATGATAATAGTTAAAATAGTTAAACGTAACTCGTTGATATAATTCATTGATTCATAATTTCATATCATTTCTATATTTTTTTTCTAAATATATATACTGTATATATTTATATAAATGTCTTAAACTACATCTTTAACTTATAGTCCTAATATTTGTCCGATATTTTTAGTTTGTATAACTTGTGCAAAAAATGAAAATAATTGTATTTGTGCACCTCAAGACTCTTATAAAAAACCAAGAGGATCTCTTCACAAACCAATTACATAAAATGGATATATAAAATATAAGTAAGCAATAGATAGATTATGCCTTTCTTGCATGGTTTAACTGAAGCTAATGTACCTATTATACTTAAAGTTCCTGAGAGTTTAGATTTTGCTAACATATGCAAAAGCTGCATCAACTAATATGAAATCAAAACGATAATTATATCAGAAGGTGAAATCAATGTAGATGATCAAGAAATGAATAATCTTATTCCAATACTCATATATAAGGACGAAAATCCAAAGAAAAGTTAGTTGTTCAAAGTAAATCTTGATTTACGTGACAATCCGACCGACATACTGAAACCGGATATCGGGTTCAAAATTTGAATAATCTGTAACCCTGAAATCTTTATTTTGATATTCTCGGGTTTAAAATTATCGTCGTACCTATTTCTTCTCAACAAAATAATATTTATATTAACTCCTTTTCAAATAATATAGGTAATCAATTTACTCAATTTACCCAATTTCGACCATAAATTTTTAATCGTATAGTTCAGTATATAACAGTATAATTCATACGTAAACACCATGATATTTTCAATTCTTATTTTTCAATTCTTATTTTTTATATTTATCTTTTTATCTTGTATTATATAACATTAGTAAATAATTTTACCGTAGGAAGCTAATCATTATATACTATATATTTATTATATTATTTTCATTATATAAATAAAATATTACTATCTAACAGATAATTAAAGCTAATAACTCGATTAAATATTAAACGTTTAATCTTTTCCTTTTTGTTATTAACAACTTCTTCTGACAAAGGATATGAAGATAAATGAATTTAAATTTGTTCATATATTTAGGGAAAAATAACGGATTGTTTGGTCAAAGTTTATTACCTATTCTAGATTTTTTGATAAAATAATTTAATAACTCTTTTCCAATTTTTATAACTACCAGCACAAAACTCTTTTAAGTAATTAAAGTTAGTTTTGACGCCATAGGATATAAAGTAAAAAAAAAAGCTAATAAATTATTATTTATAGTATAAAAATAGTTTAATTATCCTGATTTGTTATTTAAAAAATTATGTTAACTATATTTACCGATGGATTTTTTTTACCGCATCCTAACTACATTTTTTTTTTAGTTAAAACAGTTAATGTGTACAGCAAAAAAAAATCAAGATTCGTGAATTAAAATTTAAAATATAGAAATCCTAAAAATGTGGCGTAGATTTTGACCAATAGAATTGATTGGCCAATCAGAATCTGGGTTGGAAAAGACCAGAGTGATAAATCATTATAAAAATGAGCAAACAGAAATTTTTTCTGCAAAAAAAAAACCACTCACTTCTATTGTTCGAAAGCTCCCAGATATAAAATTTAACTATGGATAAAAATCAATTACAAAATAATGGTCATAGATGCGCCCAATATAAGAACAAAGTTTTACTTTAATTAAATAATTGAAAGTAAATTTATCACTAATCGTCTATTATTTTTAATGAAGAACATGAAAAAATCAGGTTCACAGTCTCAATGGATTATTGTTTATTTCCATATGCGCAAACAAATTTTAGAAATAAATTTTTATCGCTGATTCTGAGTTAAATTATATTGGACCTGGTTTAATTTTTATTAATTTAATTTATTTATAAAAATTCTATATATAAAATCGTGATATCTGATTGATCAACTTTTAAAGTAACCTGAAATTTTTTAAGTACGTTCTGAAATCTTGAAAGATTGAAAGATTTACCTTTTGAAAAAGAACAAATTACTATCATTTTTGTCGTTTTCGTGTTATTTCATTAACTCCATTTAAATATTGACCCATTGTGAATTTATCCGAAAGATTTTTTCTAGTATTTTAAAATTTCACATTTAATCTACTTAATCTACTAAACATAATTCCCAATTTGGACGAAAATACTTTTATATATTGTATTGTTAGTATAGATGAACTAGCCCTTTAAATTTTTTTTTTTCGTTAGAAAAGGAAATCACTTACAGATAAAAATGGAAATCACTTGTTCACTTAATCACTTTATTTTGATTTATCATTTTAAGAAAAAAAGTTCGTCTGGTTTTATATTAAAAAAAATCCGAAATCATTTTTTTTTCTCTTTTTTCTCCTTTTATAAAAAAATTTATTTCAAAAAAAAAATAATATCTTTTATCTCAACATTCTTCTAACGTAACTTATATTTTAAGCATTTTCTCAGTAATTGATTACCGAATTATGTTAAGTTGTTTTAATTATACGATTTTCTAGATCATGTGGTTTATAGTAAAACAAATTGAAATAATATAAAAGGAAAATATTTGTCTATGCATAGCCATAAAATCTATTACTAATGCATTCCTTCCGGGTGAGGCAAAAAAAAATTTATAAGAAATACTTGATATATAGTTTAAGATTCATGATTATCCGGTGTCACAAGTTGCGCCAAGAACTTGTCAGGTTGTCAGTTTCAAAATAAACACATGACATTCAGCACTTCATTTAGCCACATTAACCAAAAGTTTTACAAGACTACTAGTTGCGGCGTGTATATTTTCTTTTTTTTTTGTGTGATGTAAGGTTTTTATATTATAGTTTTAAAGATAAATAAGATTACTGTATTTAGTTACCGAAAAAAGAAGTGTGTTGTTTTTTAAAAAAAAGCATATTTTCGGTGAAAAATTTTTTTTTATATCGAAAGGTGATCATGGCATTGCTCACACAATAAAAAATTTTTTTTTTTTTATATGAGAGGCGAAATTTTACGTACAGCTAGAGCTGCGACCCGTCAGAATTTCTGGTTTCGGATCATACCCAAATCAAAAAAAGTATTACCCGACCCCATAACGGGTATTACCCGGACAAATATCAATTCTTTTCTCAATAAATATACAAATCAAGATATTTATTGAATTTAAAAAATTTTGATATTGTTTGAAAAATAAAAAAATTATCAAATAAGTGTTGTTAAAAGTCACCAGTCAACACACCGCTTAATTCTAGCCGAATATAATAATTTTGGCCAGATTTAATAAAAATTTCGCCAAGCAAAAATCCATATAACCCTTAATTCTTGCCGGCAAATTCTGGCCAGAGTTAACATCTTAACTCGGGCAAATTTAATTTTCGGTTGGCTGTGCTAACCCGGGTATACTGTATGTGTATCAACACAACCATTTGCTATTCCATGACCCGGATACTCATAAATACCGGATAAACGGGTAACGGGTCGCAGCTCTACGTACAGCCATTCATATTTAACAATGTGTTTCAAAATAAAAAAATTAACTTTTCACAATAAATAAATTTTTTTTTTCATGCAAGAGGCTAAATTTTACGTACAGCCATGCATATTTATACATGTGTTACAAAATAAAAAAGCTCAATTAACTTTTCACAATAAATAATAATGCATATTTAACATGTGTCACAAAATAAAAAAAAAGGTATATAATCGCCAATGGACGATATAAAAAAATAATTTTTTGGTAATAAATTTATATATTTATAAGCGATTACCAAATGGATGACATTTCATTAAAAATTAACGAAATCGAAATCGATGTTGATAAAAATGATGTTGATAAAAATGACGTTGATAAAATATTTACCTTCGATGATATCGGTGATGAACCACATAATGGTAAACCTATTACTATAATAGAAATATCCCCAAATGAAAACTACCTTATTACTTATAGTAAAGAAGATAGTTCAATTGCCGGTTGGAATGTTAAAGATATGGATAAAGTTCAACTTAAATTTGATCAAACTGTTAAAATCAATAAAGATAATGAAGATAATGAATATGAAATTGAAAGCTTATGTGTTTCTGATGATAAGAAACTTGCTTATATTGATACTCGTGGTTATAATGGTAAGTAATAATTATTTGATTATGTAATATTAAATTATGGTAATTGATATTTATTTTAACATTTTTTTAGTAATCGATATGGTTAATAAAGATAAAAAAATTGCATTAGATTTATATGGTTATGGTTCTTATTGTACCTTTAATTTAAAAGGTGAATTTATTTTATATGATGAATTTTACAACCAGGATACTTCTGGATTGCATAAAATTATTTGGATTTATTTCACACAAACTAAAAATAACAAATGGAAATGTAAGAGATTTTACAGGATACCTGAAGATTATAAATTAATTAGTATATCAATATATGATAAAGTTTACCTATTTTCAAATGATTACATTTATGAATGGAATATTAATACTGAGAAAAGCGTAAAAATATTTTTTAATAATAAGGATAAGAATAAGGTAATAAATATTATAAAATTATTTTCAAACCAATCGATGTTAAATTAGAATTAAATATATTAAATACTATTTATTTTTTTTAGTTTGAAACAAAAAATATCGGAATATTTAGTAATAAAAAGTTCATTTTTCTTAAAATCAAAAATAAAATCATCGTTTATTCAATCAAATTGGGAATTCCTATTGCTTCTTTGGATATAGATAATGGTAACCATTTTTAAAAAATTTTATTTATACTTTAATTATTACTCACATTAAATCATTATGTTTTATTTAGATAGTATTCAACTATATAATTTTATGAATCATACTGGTTTATTTCTTTTACCTTCTTTATTCTATTATACACCAGATGAAGGAATCTGGAATTCCATCGAATATTGCTGGAACAATAAATATAAAAATATATTTAATGAAACTTTTAAACCAACAAAATTTGTGTTTGGAATTCTAAATGGATGTGTTTGGAAATCTAAATTTGACGAGAAGATGCCAAAAACAAATTTTTCATCTGAATATTCTGATGAATTAAATAAAGAAAATAATAAAATTATTGAATATAATGATAATGATAAAATCAACAAGGAAACTTACGAACACTCAAATATTAATTTATATAAGGATACTGTATCTACATTATTTCAAAAAGCCATAATAAATGATAGCAATAGTAAAAAAGAATTAACCGAATCAGATGAAAATTTAATTAAATGGGATATACGTGTTTATAACGGTAAAATTAAACTGGAAGTTTTTGATACTGAATGGAATTTAATAAACAGTAGAATTGAAAATTATTGTTATCCTTATAAATCTAAAAGATATCTCGGCGATTTTATCAATGATCATAGATTAATTGCGAGCTCATTATTTAATAATAACAATGATATTGTTATATTGACAACATTTGGTATTCTTATTTATACTTTCAGTGAAAATGACGAATCCATTTTTTTAAACTATTTTTATTATATGAAATTCGATGTTTTGAAATATGATAACAGCAAATATATGAAAAAAATACTTCAACATTATAAAAGGATATTTTCAAAATCTACTTTACCATTACCAAATTATGATAGTTTTAGATTAGATGACCTATTATTTATTACAACTGAAACCCATTCAAGTCTTTTGAAACATGGAGTTGAATTATTAACATTTGCAATTAAAGAACATAAGTTAGAATTAATTGATGATATTTATAAAAAATGTATGACATATTTTAAAGAGGATTCAATGAACAATAAGTCATTTTTAAGTATTATCACTTCTACAATGCCATTACTAGATAAACATTATCCGAAATATATTCTAAAATATTCATCAGAAACGAATATGATCATAGATAATTCTTTTTATAGTATAGAGCATCAAAATAAAAATTTACATCTTTATTCTTTTTTTCAATCTCCTCAAATAGCTAATTTATCAAAATCACTTTTATGGACAAAATACTATCGTAAAATTAATTACACATCTGTAAAAATACAAACTTCAAATAATTTATTATTGAAAATTTTGGCTTCTTTATTTTCGTGGATTGCATTGTTTATTCAAGCTCTAATAATACTTTTAACTTTACCCTTTTATTTGGCTACATTTCATATTTTATCAAAATACAACTTTATTAATAATATTTACCCTGTCGATGCATTTTCTTTTGTTTATTTCTTTGTTGATCTTATAATTTTTAAAAAAGGTATAACAACAACACCAACAATTACTTTTATGATTCCTTATATTAATTTTGTTAATTATTCAAAAGATTATAGTTGGTTTTTAGAATTAATTAGACCTCAACCTAGTCCATTTACTGAAACGATAAATAGAAATATCTATAAAACATGGAATGGAGAGGCATTAATTAATTTTAAATGGAATACTTATGGAAAATATTATTTTACAATGATTTGGATTTTATTTATGGCATTACTTGGGTGCTTTACTGCTGCTGCAACAATTCCTCAGAAATATATCAATGAAGAAGTTAGACAACAACTTTTTATTGCTTCAATTATACTTGGATCTATTCATCTGATTTTTGAAATTCATCAATTTTTTTATAATATTATTAAGTGGTTCTATAATTTTTGGAATATTTTTGGTAAATATAAATGTTTAATTTAATTATTTTACAATATCTTTATTTAAGAAAATGAAATTAATTATATAATATTTTAAATTACAGATATAATTGCTTATGTGCTTTCAATTTACACTTCTATATACTGGCTTCAAACAAATGATAAGAACAATAATTATCTAATCACTTTGCTTTCTTTTTCATGCTTATTTTTAGATATAAAATTTTTGTTATTTTTTAGAGCATTTGAATATTTTGGTGTATATTTTGCAATTATTATTGGTGTTGGAAAAAAGATTTTTTCTTTTTTAATAGTCTTATTCATTATTGTAATAAGTTTTGCACATGCATTTTATATTTTATTATCACCAAGATCTAAATTTTCACTTGAACAATATAATATAAATAGTGATGATCCAAATAATCCTTGGAAATTAGCTCCTAGTTATAATCAAATAATTGATAATAATGGAAATATAAACTCCAATCCATCTATGATTCAAATACCTGATAAAAATACAAACATGTTTATGGATATTAGAACTTCTCTTTTTGCTATGTATTTATTTTTAGCAGGTATGTTTAAAATTTCATAATTATATAGATATGCATAAATATTTTTCTAATACCTTTAAGCAATCCTTCTTTCCTATCAATAGGTGATTCAAGTGCATTATCCAATTGGGAATATACAGAAAATCCATCAATTGCAGTATTGATTGTTTTATTTTCCCTCTTAGTTGTTGTATATCTTATGAACTTGTTAATTGGATTACTCAATATAGAAATTGGAGAAGATAATAATAGAGTCTCATATTTGATACAGAAGGCAGAAGTAAATAATATTAATATTAATTATTCCATATTTGTAAATATACTAATATATCTCAATTCTTATATTTTTAAAGATTTTGGCAGAGATTGAGTTATTTTACCTATTACCACATCAGAGACGTTGGCATACATGGTTTCCTAAAGTAATGTATGTAATTTTACTTTAAAAAAAAATTTATTGTTATGGTTTTATTAATTATTCAAATTATTTTAAGACATTATTATGCCGATATTGATAAGGCTCGAATGGAAATTGAAAGATTGATTGAAGAGGGTGAATGGGATGCTAAGGAATTCACAGAGATGCGGAAAAATTTATTAAAAGAACTTCAAATTAAACATAATCCTATTAACAATGAGGTAATATTGGAGAAATTAAAATCTAATGATGAAATATTGGAGAAATTAAAATCTAATGATGAAAAATTGGAGAAATTAAAATCCAACGATGAAATATTGGAGAAATTAAAATCTAATGATGAATTATTGGAGAAATTAGGGAAATTATTGGAAGAAATACATGCAAAATAATTTTAATATTACGTTAGTTTTATAAACTGAAATTATTGATAGTGTATTAAATGGACCCGTTTGTAATCAATTATAAGATTGAATAAATATATTTTATGTTTTCTCTTTAATCACATAAATTCCTAAATTATTCATTTGTTTTTTTTTCGAAAAAAAAAGATTGATAAAATTGAAAACTAGCAGTCACCTGTTGTTTCGCACCGGGACCAATGAGTTTGTTTAAATAGAAAAATTTAATATTATAATGTAATACCAAATATATTAAAGATGGTTACAGTAGGTTTTTGTTTATAATTAGGAATTTAATGTGGTAATATTTAGCCAATAAAAAATAATAAAATTAATGATTTGACATTTGAGTGTGGAATGAAATTAAGGAATTGTGAAAAAATAATTACCAATAAAAATTGATTAATTTTTTTTTAGAAGTATTTTCGAAAAAACTTTAATATTATGAAAATACTACATTATTATTTTAGATGCACAGATCGAACAATTTCTTTTTTCTCAAATATTTTCACATTTATTAGCTTCTTCAAACTATCTTTACAAAATTACGAAGCTATTTTTTACAATTACTGGTAAATTATTTTCCAATTGGAATTTAAAGTAGTTTTTCTTTTTTGAGGTTTTTGAGGTCTGATTTTTTTTAGGTATTTTATTATTAATACACAAAATGGCCTCATAACTTTGCTAATAAAGTCATGTTCTTAATCTTAATATGCTTTTTTTCTCAAAGTACAGAATAGTTAAAGCCACACATCTAATTGGATGTTAAATATAATACAATGTGTACTTACAAATCATATAAACATCATTTTCAATTAAAGGAACGAAACAGTCAAAACTCTGTTTGTCATCAGATAAAATTTCAAAAGAAAATTTGGCAAGTTAAAGGAAGTGCGAAAACAAAGAAGTGAGTCACTTCAGAAAATACAGCCTCAGCTATTTGGGCCTGATATCGCTTCAATTCTTATGCTTTACTAAATTAAAAATATTTTTATATTTAAATTAACATTATTAAATTTAATTTATATATATTTGCATTAATAAATTCATTAAAATTTTTAACTCATTGTTATTATTATAAAAAAATCCTTAATTAATAATTTTATTATATAACTTGATATAGTTTTGATTTACATAGTTAACAGCGCATGCCTCCACTTGATCTATTTATGATCAAAAACTATTCGATTCCAGTTAAATTATTAATTTTTTTTGTCCGATTTTTTTTTTCAACTTTTTTTGGTTCCTTTTTTCAAAAATTTTTCAAACTGAAAAAAATTTTTTCTCAGTTTAGTAGTTTAGTTTTTTTTTCAACCTGAAAAATTTGTTTTTTCTCATTCTTTTCTTGTTTAGGTTTAATTTTTTTCCCAAACTGAAAAATTATACCAATTTGTTTTTTATTTTTTTTCGATCTTTTTTTTTTTAGACCGTATTATTTTTTTTTCACTCTTTTGGATCGGATTATTGTCCTTTTTTTTCAGAATTTTTTTCATACTTATTTTTTTTTTCGGATTCCTTTTTTTTCAGAAATTTCCCTTTTTCTTAAACTGATTTCTTTTTTATCCTTTTTCTTCCCCAAATTTTTAAAAATTTTTTTTTTATTATTAAATAAAAAATAAAATATTATATTAAATATATTTACTAAATTATTATTTTTTAAAAAAAAAATCAATACAGTCAACTCCCTCTATAGTCACTCCCGTTATAGTCACATTCTACTATATAGTCACACCAGTTGAATGTTCAAAACACTTTATTATTAAAATCTATCCTATATAGTCACAATCTATCTATAGTCACTATCACACCTATCCTCAAAAATCTTATATTAAAAA